CTTCACAGGCACCATCTCTGTTAAACAAGACTGTTGCCCCTGTGTATCTACTCGGTCCTCTTTTGTCATTTCTTACAACTTCCAAGCACTCCCATGTCTTCCTTAGCGAATCTCACTGTGCTTGGTACCAGCAGTGCTGTCTAGAAGGAGAAGATGCACTACACTCTGATTCACAACCTTTCCCAAATGAACCAAGGGTGCATTCCTACTTTCACAGAAAGTGCATAGACAATCATTCAGCAATCGGACAGGCTTCTTCCTCCGAAGAGATTTCTTATTATGAATGACTAAGTCATACAAGCCAGATGATCTATAATTAATATGACTACCCAGAAATGCCCCAAGCCTACTAAATGCAGTAATTCTCAAAAGTAACTTATAAGAATAAAACCGTGTACAATGGGTAAACTCATGCCACTCCCACCTTGACGGAAGACTGAGGTGTATGGGTTGAAGCATTCTGATCTGGACTGGCTTTTTCCCCCGTGTAATGTGCTGCTGCTCCAAGATCAATGGTTTTGGAGGGATTTGCTGTGCGTTTGTGTCTTGTGGTGGTTGTCTCTGTGGCCTGTGTGATGTGGATATGCTTTGTCGTCACAGTCTCCTCTTCATCTTTGAATTCACCTTTGGGAGATCTGCCTCTTCTCGCTTTCTTTTCCTCATCACTGTCGCTAAAAGATATTAAAAATGAAGCAAAATAATAAGACTAGGGATTATTTTAAAACAGAGACTTCAGTGATTTGAGCTAAAGAATTTCAAATGCAGTAACTCCAAAATTTCATACTTTGACTATTTGACAGGGATCAACAGAATGTTATCTAAGCTGTCTGAATAATGATATGTATTGTGTTGGGGAGGGAAAGTGGGAACCCATCAAATTCCCGAACTAAGTCTAAAACACTGCTACAAAAAAAGTATTTACATAAATGTGTACAAATAAAAAAAGTCTGAAATAATTCAAGTGCTATGTATTATAGATTTGAGGCTTAATTAAAAAATAAAATAGCAGGATTATCATCCTATTAGGATCAACTGATGAGACCCTAGGAGCTCAAACATCTGCGTTTGATAACCATTTTCTTGAAATGAATTGTGTGCAATGACTACAGTTCCATTTATATAACAGTTCTGTCACTGACTCTTACATAATAGTGCAAATACATAATATAATATTATTATTTCAATAGATACCATTTAAGGATTATCCTGTCTTAATTCAAATGATTAAACTCTCATCTGTAAATGCAGAAAAATATGAGGTAATGCACTTTACAACAATTGTACTCTATTTTACTATAAAATCAGATCAAACTTTTACATAACTATGAAAATTATTTTACAGAAAATTTAAATACACTTAAAATATTTTGAAATAATTCCTTTTCAGGCACATTCAAAATTTGTCTCCTTTTCTTTTCTTAATAGTGCAAAAGGAAAAAAATACAGAATGAGTAAAAAACTGGGTTTTTCATAAGCCACAAATTAAAGATGTCAGCACTCGTGTGTTCTACAGTAACGAGGCAGTGGTTCTTCTTCTGATGTAAGACAGGGAGAGAGACTGCCTGAAATATGTTCCATTACCTGTATTACTTAATTTTAAAGTAGTGGTTTAATTTACAAATACTCTGAAATAAAACACTTAAAATCTCCCTTAAAATTATGACTATTATTACTAATGCAATTTAACTCAGACTAACCTAAAGCAATTTCTACTTGAATATAAACTAATTTGGAACCTGTATAAATCAAGAATCAAGAAGAATGGCCTCCCATACTGAGCAAAGGGGTTAAATTCTTTTTAATCTATAAGCGTTTTAGGGAATCAACAAGTTCTGTTTAAGTGATCAAAAGCCCTTGCACTAATTTCTGAGCCACAAATGACCTAAAGGTTCCCACCATCAGTAAAACTGAAATTTCTTACCTTACTGATGTATGATTCCACTGAAATACAGTTTCTTTATAATAGGTGAGAATATAAATCTGACTAGCACATAATAAAATGGGAGCTTTGTATCTGACCGCTGTTTAAGAATTCCGAATCTAATAATCAACTAAGTCTGAAATTCTGTTAACATGCAAGAGAGGTCCCATGCAACCCTGTCTGATAATTTACTATTCTCTCACAAATACTCTGACTTTATAAAGTCCCTGGTGTGCTCTTCAGTTATTACAACAAATAATACACACTATATTTTCACTGTTTTAAACTAGAATACTATATATAAAAGATTTAGCAACTCTAGTAGATACTGTCTTAGAGGCAATGTAGAAAAAAAAATCAGGTGAGAAACAGGAGGGGAAAAAAAAGACAATGACAAAGCAAGGGAAGAAAAACTGAGGGTGGAGGGCAAAGAAGAAAGCAACAGTACACG